TGACTATAGAATCTTATCAGAGGACCTCCAGATTCCTAGAGAAGTGTTATCCCGAGAAGTTGCTAGATCAGGCTTCTTCAACTTGTGACCCTTCAGGTGTTTGGGCATCCCAACCAGAATCCCTAGCCAGCTTGTTCAGTGGTCAAGAATCCTGGGAGTTGACGTTCAAAACACCTGAAGAGCCACAGGTTGAAGAGGTCTGCTCTATATCCTCATGCACAACAAGTTGACCATAATCAAATCCATGAATATAAAAACTGCAAATGTGGAGGGAAAGCTGTAAGTTATTTTTAAAATGATGGTTCTCTGGGTTTTGTTTTGTTTTGTTTTGTTTTTGCTCTTAATGCATACTAGACCTCTGCTGCTAACCTAATTACTAATTAAGCATAATTTCTTGAAATGTAGAATAGATTGCCAGTAGCATTGAATGGATCAGCTACTATAATGTGGATGCGTGTGTACAGTTTTTCATTATTCACCAGCAACTTGTTCTCTTAATATAATGCAATGACCAAATATCAGTCGGAGGACAGGAGTTGGCGGCAATGCTGGTAAGACTTTGGCATGTTGCATGGTGCCCACACTGATAGATATTTTATTTTTAAAAAAAGAGTGACTGTGAAGTGTTTTCTTATGCTTCCTGCAGTGGATTCACTATTGAGTTGGCTTCGGCGTTCACAGTTGTGATAGCTTCCAATGTTGGACTTCCTGTCAGTACTACACACTGCAAGGTATGCCTTTGCCATGTAACTGCAGCCAGGCTGGTCTGGACTGCACATTTTTTAAAACTCTGCTGCTCAGATCAGTTTATAGTGGCATGATACCATAATGAGGAAATATACCATAAGTGTGGGTAGGGCAGGAATATCTTCACACCCAGTTGTAAAATGCACGAAGAGACTCATCTTCAGTTCCCTCCTCAAACATCTTTTTCATATTCTGTATCCATGAAAGATAATTTAGCATCGACTGCTCATCCACATTACTTTTTGCTTTGTTATACGAGGGGTATTTTTTAAGTAAGGTCTGTTTGAACATAAGTACACAACGAAAGTTTATTTCAAAAAAGTTCCCCCCCCCCCCCTCCCCACTATTTTTTCGACATAGTTGCCAAGTTTGTTCAAACACTTATCATACCTCTGAACCAATTTTAAAATACCCTCTTCATAAAAACTTGCCGCCTGCTCCGATAACCAAGAGTTCACTGTAATCAAAGAAGGGCAACCGGAGCGGTCCTCATCATGGACGTTGTCACGGCCATCTTTGAATTGTCGTACCCACTTACGCACTTTGCTTTCACTCATAACAGTATCACCGTACACTTCACAAATCTGTCGATGAATTTCTGCAGCAGGCAGGTTCCTTGCTGACAAAAACCGTATCACTGAGCGAACCTCACATGTGGAGGGCGAGTTGATAGTCTTAAACATTTTTAAAGCACAGAACAGAACCGTACAGGTTAGCTAAAGAGCACAGTTGTTCCCGAGGCATGCCGGTACACGACGCACGCACTCGTTGCGGTATGCGTGCGAACTACTAGTGTCTACAACAAAACGGACCTTACTTAAAAAATACCCTTCGTATATTCCCTATAAAAGGCAGTCAGTCAGTCTACCATTTGGCTTTTGTTAATTTTAATTAGTGTTCCACAGAAGCAAAGATTAGTGAGTTTTGTACAAAAGTAACGTGTACTGTTTCCTATTTAACGATAAACTTTCCATAAAGTTGCACAGGACAGTGCTGAACAAGATTGGCAATGACCCAACCATTCTCCCCTCCTATAGTAGTAGGAGACCACTTTTTAGCATTTTGTACATGGAGGGGGGGGGGGATTCTCCTTTGGGAATTAATCCGAACTATGCATTACAAGTTGTCTCTAAATCTGCTGGTAGGTTAGCTCTTCATGGATTTTTCCTCAGATCATGCCACATAAAGTTTGACCTGATGCACCCCTCCTTTGCCCAGAGGTTCTGACACTTTTCACCTTTCATCCTTCCACTTTCCTGATGGATGCATGGCATGGGATTTCCTGTGTGTCACTCTTTTACACTACAAAATCTCCCATTTGTCTTTTTGTTTCTTCACAGTGGATTTTGCATTGAAGTAATGTGTGCGCTAACCGTACTTGTAGCCTCAAATGTGGGTATTCCAATAAGCTCCACTCATTGCAAGGTATTGGAGTTTGCAGTGGTCACACCAGTTAAACACCCAGTCAAGCTTTTATAAACATTATAATAAAGGCTTGTTTTCCATTTTGCCTTCATAACATAATACATCAAGCAGTTTAAAAACCAAAAAAACCAAACCAAAACATAAAGTATTACCAAAATTGGACATGCAAATTTCTGCAAATATTAGAATGCTGATTTTTTTCTGAAATATTATAGAATGGAAAGAATATAGGTAGCTTATTATTCTTAATGCTACTTATTAGCCACATTGTAGAATTCACCCAATAGTCTATTAACAAGTGTCAATCATCTTAACTTTTAGTATTCTTGCCTCTATGCCTTAGACGTCTTAGGGCTAACATTGCACTAACATTTTTATAGTTTGAATCCTCCTTCCAATCATACACACATTTTTTTCATATGGAATACAAGGGAATTTTGATATGGCTAATTGTAAGGAGCACTTCATGTACACATCAGTAAAAGTCAACAGCACTCTTGATTCTGCATTGCAGCATCTGAAGGCAAATGGCATTTAGTTTCAAGCCAATTCAAAAGACAGCTGACATTTGACAACAAATTGTCACTTGTGAACAATGACTCTGCTTTTCTAACCTCTATTCTCATCAAAACTTAGTAAAATAAACCTAGATGATGCTTAGGAATGGATTTACCAATGTCAGCACCACTGATGCCCTTTTTAACTGTGTGTACGTGGGGGGGGGAGGGGTGTGTGTGTAAATAAATTACTCAAATTATGATACCCATCCTCTAAGCTGAATATATTAATAAAATTGCGGTGCCCTTTATATTATTTATTTATTTATATGCCGCTTTTCTCAGCCCTTGGGCGACTCAAAGCGGTTAACAATAGCAAAAATCAATGCTCAACATCATAAAAAGAGTTTAAAAATCAGTTAAAAACATCCTTTTCAGACCTCAAAGTTACAACATTATTTTTTTCCATTTTGTCTCTTCCTTTGTCTTAGTTCCCAATCTGTCCTAAGTCTGTTCCTGTCTATTAAAATAAATGAACATTAGAAAGAAAATGGTGGAAGTACTAATAATTTGATCCATCCCCAGGCCTGGAAGTCTAAAAGCTTTTTCATGAATGGGTTGTTGTAGGTTTTTCCGGGCTATATGGCCATGTTCTGGAGGCAATTTTTCTCCTGACGTTTCGCCTGCATCTATGGCAAGCATCCTCAGAGGTAGTGAGGTCAGACCTCACTACCTCTGAGGTTGCTTGCCATAGATGCAAGCGAAACATCAGGAGAAAATGCCTCTAGAACATGGCCATATAGCCCAGAAAAACCTACAACAACCCAGTGATTCCGGCCATGAAAGCCTTCGACAATATATTATTATTATTATATGGCCATGCTCTGTTCAACATCTTTATTAATGACTTAGATGAAGGGCTAGAAGGCATGATCATCAAGTTTGCAGACGACACCAAATTCGGAGGGATAGCCAATACTCCAGAGGACAGGAGCAGGATTCAAAACGATCTTGACAGATTAGAGAGATGGGCCAAAACTAACAAAATGAAGTTCAACAGTGACAAATGCAAGATACTCCACTTTGGCAGAAAGGAAAAACAAAATGCAAAGATACAAAATGGGGGACAATGCCTGGCTCGAGAGCAGTACATCTGAAAAAGATCTTGGAGTCCTCGTGGACAACAAGTTAAACATGAGCCAACAATGTGATGTGGCGGCAAAAAAAGCCAATGGGATTTTGGCCTGCATCAATAGGAGCATAGTGTATAGATCTAGGGAAGTAATGCTACCCCTCTATTCTGCTTTGGTTAGACCACACCTGGAATATTGTGTCCAATTCTGGGCACTGCATTTCAAGAGAGATATTGACAAGCTGGAATGTGTCTAGAGGAGGGCGACTAAAATGATCAAGGGTCTATAGAACAAGCCCTGTGAGGAGCAGCTTAAAGAGCTGGGCATGTTTAGCCTGAAGAAGAGAAGGCTGAGAGGAGATATGATAGCCATGTATAAATATGTGAGAGGAAGTCACAGGGAGGAGGGAGCAAGCTTGTTTTCTGCTTCCCTGGAGACTAGGACGCGGAACAATGGCTTCAAACTACAAGAAAGGAGATTCCATCTGAACATGAGGAAGAACTTCCTGACTGTGCGAGCCGTTCAGCAGTGGAACTCTCTGCCCCGGAGTGTGGTGGAGGCTCCTTCTTTGGAAGCTTTTAAACAGAGGCTGGATGGCCATCTGTCAGGGGTGCTTTGAATGCAATATTCCTGCTTCTAGGCAGGGGGTTGGACTGGATGGCCCATGAGGTCTCTTCCAACTTTATGATTCTATGATTCTATTTTGTTTCAAGAGATAATGTATTAACTCTTTTTATGTACTGGCATCCAAAGAGGCTCATATGCAAACCAATTCTCTGTGTCTATGTGGAAGAGAATTACCCTTTCATGTGCTTCTTGTAGCAGTGTCTCCTGCCTCATGGCATGCCACTCTGGATGACTATCTGATCTTGGAATAGTAGTGTTTCTGGTGGCATAGAAGCTACCATGGGAAGGGGTTGAATAGCCTCTGTGCATGCCGAAGTATAGTTCCAGTTAAAGAGAAGCAAACTTACCACTTCAAGAAATAAAGCCTGACTTCTCATTGGAGGAAAGAATAGTGGAGGCCAAGATGAAGTTCTTTGGCCACATCATGAGAAGAAAGGAAAGCTTAGAGAAGACAGTGATGCTGGGGAAAATGGAAAGGAAAAGGAAGAGGGGCCGACCAAGGGCAAAATGGATGGATTGTATCCTTGAAGTGACTGGATTGACCTTGAAGGAGCTGGGGGTGGTGACGACCAACAGGGAGCTCTGATGTGGGCTGGTCCATGAAGTCACGAAGAGTTGGAAACGACTGAACGAATGAACAACAACAAAACTTACCACAAAGATAGAAAATTTATTTTAGTCAGTTATTTCCCTCTGTAACTATTTTAAGACTCAGGTCTGAGGAATTGGCTTGATCAAACATGATCTCATGACAGGCTCTTGGCTACTAAGTTATATTAAGTGGGTTATGCCATCAGTGCTAATTGGATTGAATCAATCCTCTGGGACCTTGCATCTCAGTAATCTATCTGACTCGATCTGTAAATTGCAAGAAAGTCTAAACAAAGAGGACCACATCTTTTAATATTCACATGTACCATTCTGCGGTAAGAGCAATTCTTGGAATTTTCTGTAAGTTCCAGTATAGTTGTAGTACATTACACAAATCCAGTGTTAGAATCCAATTGTGAGAGTATGGACTTTTCCTCTCTGGGGAGTCTACTATTGAATCTCAGCTTATTGGCCACTAAAAGGGATTTGAGGTTTTTTAAGTTAAGAGATCTCACTCTGGGTCAGAAACTTGAATCTTGACTAAGCTTGATGGACCAGTATCTGACTCTTTGAAAGGCAAAGAACTGAATGCAAGATTGCAAAGTAATGTGGATAGGGAAGAACTAAAACAGGAATATTATCTCATATAATTCTGGGACTCATAATATGTAGTACAGTATTTTTGATTAATAGATCAAAGTTCCAGCTAGCTAAAAAAATGCTGGAATAGAAATTAGAAGCATTCATATTCGGTGTCATCTCTTTCCCAAGTTCTTTCGTTTTATGCATGGAAAAGCTCTTATTTAGCTGCTACACAACAAAAGGAAGGCAGAAAGCTTCTGAGTGGTGATCACCGGACCTCCGGTGGCGCAATGGGTTAAACTCTTGTGCTGGCAGGACTGAAGACCGACAGATCGGAGGTTCGAATCTGGGGAGAGTGTGCATGAGCTCTCTCTGTCAGCTCCAGCTCCCCATGCAGGGACATGAGGATGGTAAAACATCAAAAACATCTGGGCATCCCCTGGGCAGCATCCTTGTAGACCAGGGGTCCTCAAACTAAGGCCCAAGGGCCATAGATGGCCCCCCAACGTCATTTACGTAGCCCTCGCTCAGGGTCAACCTAAGTCTGAAACTATTTGAAAGCACACAACAACAATCCTATCTTATCAGCCAAAAGCAGGCCCACACTTCACACTGAAATACTAGTAAATTTATATTGTTAAAATTGTTCTTCATTTTAATATTGTATTTTTAAATGATTTTTATTAAAGTTTTCTAAAATTACAGGGAAAGAGGGGGAATATTTAAAAGAAGATAGTAAAGTAGGAAAGATAGATAGATTGAAACCCACTCCCAACCAAGAGTCCAAAAAGAAAAGAAAAAAGAAAAAAAGGGGGAAAACACGATTTATATATAAAAATTTGAATTCCATCTCATCTTCAGGTTCTTAGTCTCATTAGTTATCTCTTTTTTTAAAAAAAAAAAGCCCATTTCCTCTTATTCTCTTCTTTCTTTATCATAGAATCATAGAATCAAAGAGTTGGAAGAGACCTCATGGGCCATCCAGTCCAACCCCCTGCCAAGATGCAGGAATATTGCATTCAAATCACCCCTGACAGATGGCCATCCAGCCTCTGTTTAAAAGCTTCCAAAGAAGGAGCCTCCACCACACTCGGGGCAGAGAGTTCCACTGCTGAACGGCTCTCACAGTCAGGAAGTTCTTCCTCATGTTCAGATGGAATCTCTCTGTAGTTTGAAGCCATTGTTCCATTGCGTCCTAGTCTCCAAGGAAGCAGAAAACAAGCTTGCTCCCTCCTCCCTGTGGCTTCCTCTCACATATTTATCCATGGCTATCATATCTCCTCTCAGCCTTCTCTTCTTCAGGCTAAACATGCCCAGCTCCTTAAGCCACTCCTCATAGGGCTTGTTCTCCAGACCCTTGATCATAGTCACTAAAGAGAATCCAATCCGTTCTCTTTATCGGATTCCTGGTATTCTTTTTCAGGAAAAAAGTTAGTTCATCCATTTCTCTTATTTCTCTGATTTTTTCCAACCATTCACCCAAGGTTGGAATAATTCCAGTTTCCAAAATTTTGCTAATATTATTCTCGCCGCAGTCGTCAAAAAATGTAAATAATTTATCCTCATTTTCATTCAACTGTAGTTCCAAGTCTGTAAAGCTTAGTAAATAATATTCAGGTTTCTTTTTAAATACTCTCTTCATTTTTTTTGGTGTTTCCTCATGGACTATCGACCAATACTTCGATATTTCTTTACAAGTCCACCACATATGGTAAAAGGTACCAACCTGATGACATCCTTTCCAGCATTTATCAGAAGAATTTTTATACATAATAGCCAATTTTTTAGGAGTGGTATACCATCTGTGGAACATTTTTATCCAGTTTACTTTTAACTCTGTCACATAGACATATTTTAATTTTTTGTCCACATCTGTTCCCACTCTCTAAATTGAATTGTATTGTTTTTAAGAGTTTTTTGCACTACAAATAAGATGTGCAGTGTGCATAGGAATTCACTCATGCTTTTTTCAAATTATAATCCGGCCCTCCAACAGTTTGAGGGGCTGTGACATGGCCCTCTGTTTAAAAAGTTTGAGGATCCCTGTTGTAGACGGCCAATTCTCTCACATCAGAAGCAAGTTTCAGTTTCTCAAGTCACTCCTGACACGAAGAAGAAAAAAAGCTGTCAGGACGGCATATAGGAAAGCCTGCATCAACCTATAGCACTAAAGCAAACAGCAGACATCATGGCACTTAGGAAGGAAATTGGATTGAGGAACAAGACAAAATGATAGTTTCTCATGGAAGATAAATTTCACTCCTTTGTTGAGTTGAACAGTTAGAGCTGGGAAACATAGTACTACTTCAAACAAATATGTGATGTTGGAGATCTATTCTTCCTGCCTCTAGAGAATTCTTAAAATGGCAATGATCAGAACATGAAGTTCTTTTTTATATATTGCCTTTGTCAAACTATTAGCCTTCCTAGCACATCAGATAACACAGTATCCAAATGATGAAATGCATCTCTTTCGCATCATGCTCAAAAAAGAATTCTTGCTCTTGCTAATGCAAGAGTTGAATTTGAGTACTTAAATAAATATTCTGTCAAATTGCAAGGCTTAGCAAGTTATCTTTTTTCCTTCGTGGAATCTTGCTTTGTCACTCTTGTACTATTTTCTGCTCCAGGGACAAATTGATATCTGCATATAGCCTCATTTTGCATTTGTTGCCTTTATTTGAAAGAGGAGCCCTTCACCAAAAAGTGTTGAGGATTCATATGACAAATATACAATCCCAGGCCTTAAAAAAAAAGAAGAGACAGATGGCAATCAAAGCTAGAAAAAATACATGGCATAAAATCCAAATAGTGCAAGGAACTTCCTAAAAACCAAACATATGCAGTCCCTTATTTATTTATTTATTTATTTATTTATTTATTTATTTATTTATTTACAGCTTTTATATTCCGCCCTTCTCACCCGCAGGGGACTCAGGGCGGATTACAGTGTACACATATATGGCAAACATTCAATGCCAATTTTTGACATACAAACATATACAGACATACACAGAGGCTATTTAACTTTTTCTGGCCGCCAGGGGAGCTGTCGCTTTCATCGTCCATCTGCAACACTGATGAAGCACTTCCGCATTCCCCGCATGCTTCCCCGCTGGAATGCTTTGCTGGAGTCTTCTTTATGGCCTCATAAATCAGTTAATTTAGCCTCCCCACACTTTAAGGTGGTACCTTAATTTTCCTACTTGACAGATGCAACTGTCTTTCGGGTTGCAAAGGTCGACAACAGGCTACACAATTGGTTGGAAACCCACTCCAACCCTGGCTGGCTTCGAACTCATGATCTGAATGCAGCTGACACTCAGCCAGCTGCGCCACAATCCCTTGACCCATCTCAAGTAGTGCTTAACCTCTGTGGCAGCTTTACATAAAACTCCATCCCTGTGTTAAGATGATACATGGTTTCATATTTAATCAGTGACCACTTTCAGTCGGTTTATAATTCTGGGCATCAGCTGACTGGCATTGGTTTTTTTGCAGGGGTCCAGAAATGTGGATGCTTGGTCGCCAGCAGCAATCACAAACCCTTCAGGCCACTGGCAGGCCTCAATGCTCAAAGTGCCAGGCTTATGTTTCAGAGAAAATTGGGGAGTGAGGCATGACATGTCTCATTTTATGCATGGCACGCTGAACATACTGAAAAGATCGGTTTTGCTTCATGCTGGGCTTTGGAGACATGTGGTACACCATTTACTAACTCTAAATGCCTCCATAATCTGGCATGAAGAGCAACCCAGCCTTTCCCCTAAGGTATCTCTGTAAGCCAGAGGATTCGTTGGGGCATGAGGTAATGGAAACCACAAATAATGCTGGCTACTAAAAGCAAACACATATGGCCACCCTGGTGATAAGCCTCTATTAGCAATGTTAAATGCATTTAATTCTGATTTTGTTCTCAAACTTCCAAGGTCGGCTCTGTGGTGGCAGTTGGCTGGATACGCTCCAAGAAGGCTGTTGACTGGCATCTCTTCCGCAATATCTTTCTAGCCTGGTTTGTGACAGTTCCTGTCGCTGGCTTATTCAGCGCTGGCGTCATGGCAATTCTAATGTATGGTATCCTGCCCTTTGTCTGATTTCGTTGTTGTTTCCAGGAAAGAGGGGAGTCTTTCTTTGAAATAGAAGAAGGCAAGATCTCTCCTTCGAGAGTGCTGAGCTCCCTATTCAAACCATACGCTACAGTTAGTCAACAAGGATGTATTCTCAGTATCTTTAACATCTGCTGTACATATCATCTGTGTCATTGGTTGACATAACACGTGGTGCCGTTTTCTTATATATTAAAGAAATATATATATATGCTTCTAGTAGGTAAAACTACCTTAAATTATAAGTGAGGTGAAAATAATTGCCTAGAATTTAATCTTTAGTAAAAATGTGTACATAATGTATCATTTGGTGGCAATTTTTAAAATATTTTAGAAGAGCTGGGATATTTGTCACTTTGATATATGATAAAGCAAGGTGCAAAATGGGTGCAGTTTTTAAACAAATGCTGTTTAATGATACTGGAGCAAAACCGCGCAGAAGTACATTGGTTAAAAAATGTGGTTCATATCATTGTTGTGTATAATACTGTATGAATATTGGTTTTATAAATACTTTTTAAAAAGTAGCTTTTTAATGGTGCATTTCCCTGATATATTTTGGATAAGAAAGTTTAGAAAGTACCAAAGAAGGGGAATAGCTTGTCAGTATTACATTATATGTCTCTCCGTGTATGTATGTGCTGTTTGTCTCCCCTCCATGTAAGTTTCGAATTGAAATTATTTTCTGCCATCAGCCATCAGCAAAGCTGGGATGATATCACTCCTGTTAACTGTAACTAGCAAAGTGTCGTAACGTTACAGTCTATATAGCAAATATTATCCACATGAGATTTAGTAAAAGTTCGGCTTTATGTGTTAAACCCCGAATTGTCTTCAAACATCTATTCGTCATCCCTTGTATGTTAATCCAGTTCTGCTCCCATTTATCAGCAAGTTCAGGGGGCAAAAGACGAGGATTGAGCCCATTCTGTTTGCTTCTCCTTTTGCCTCCAGTAAGTCTTAACTATGCAGTGCCAACTGGGGAATGATGATACCACGCACAATTGTAGTCATATATGCCCAGCATCTAAACAAGTGGGGAACAAATTGGGCTCATTTGAGGTGTTATCTAATGTCAATCTCCCATGTTAGACGTGGCTATTATAATGGTTATCATGCAGAGGATTGAAACAGTCTTTTTGTAACAAAGGAACAACTATAAGATCTAATTCAGATGTTAACCCTGAGCAGAGTAAGATCTGCTGCAGCATAACTCTTCCTGCCTCCCAATAATATCAGATCTCTGCAGCTCCCGTGGAAGAGTCTACACTGCAGCTTCTTATGCCAGTGTTGCTCCACTGCAGTAGTGCCATAGGAAAAAGCTGCACTGTGGAGTATCTGGTGTCACTAGGAACTTGAAGTGCTTTCAAACGTAACGTATTGCTATTGATAATGCAGACAGGAGTCCAAAAAACCCTCTTTTTGAAAAGGTATCCTAGTTTGCTAGTCCTATGAACAACATTTAATAATGACACTACTGAAGAGACCTAGAAGGGTCTCTGGCCCTACAACTGCAACATGTTGCAATTCCTTAGACATGCCTTGGATGAGGTCTTTTTCCAGTAATACGAGGGGTATTTTTTAAGTAAGGTCCGTTGGAACATAAGTACACAACGAAAGTTTATTTCAAAAAAGTAAATTTATTTTCAGAAAGTACATACTTCACTCTATTTTTCGACATAGTTGCCAAGTTTGTTCAAACACTTATCATATCTCTGAACCAATTTTAAAATACCCTCTTCATAAAAAATTGCCGCATGCTCCGATAACCAAATCGTGTGTAATCAAAGAAGGGCGACCGGACAGCGTGTTGTCACGGCCATCTTTGAATTGTCGTACCCACTTAAGCACTTTGCTTTCACTCATAACAGTATCACCGTACACCTCACAAATCTGTCGATGAATTTCTGCAGCAGGCAGGCTCCTTGCTGACAAAAACCGTATCACTGAGCGAACCTCACATGCGGAGGGTGAGTTGATAGTCTTAAACATTTTTAAAGCACAGAACAGAACCGTACAGGTTAGCTACAGAGCGGAAACTGAGCACAGTTGTTCCCGAGGCATGCCAGTACACGACCCACGTGCTCGTTTCGGTATACGCGCGAACTACTAGTGTCTACAACAAAACGGACCTTACTTAAAAAATACCCCTCGTATAATAGGATAGTATTGCCCAACAGACAGCTAGTGGAATCCAGTTCCTTCATTTGCCATGGAGTCTTTCAGTTTCTTGAATATATCTGGTTTTTCATACAGCTTTCATTGGTTTCCATTGGGCTTATGAAACAAATCTTTCAAGAGGACTGTGCTCCATGGCATCTAAAGACATACTGTTGCGATAGTTTTCATGTTGGGTTTACTGGATCAGGTTTAAGGAAAGCGTGTTTGGAGGAGAATGGGAACCTAGACTTTTGAAATGCTGCTAAAATTTTGATACATGAGCTTTCTTGGTACACCATTGTGATCCTTTTTCATTGGTCATTCATTCTAAATTTCTAATAAAATAATGCCCGAAAACTGCGTTCTGTGTTGAGTTTCTTTTTCAGGTGCAGTCCTTGAATCTTCCTAGCATTTACGATCAGCTTTGTTGCAAACACTTTCTGAACACAAAGCATTCCTTGCTATTTTGCATTTGTTATGACCTTTTTAATTTATTCTCCCTCTGTGTGGGCTCTTGTTTAGACTTTTCGAACAATGGGTGGGGTGCGCACACACATGCACCCACACTCCCACTCTCCAAGTGCAAATAAAGCCGAGCTCTGTATAAAGCAAACAAAACCTTCCATTTATTTCTCTTGGGACTGTTCGTCCCAGGATGTAGCCCTCTTTCGGTGCTAATCCTGTAAGAAGAACAGCTCATACAAAAAGATGCAAATGAATGCGTTACTATGACACTGGAGAGTAAGATGCTCAGAAACATACTTGGACAAGGCAAGGCCAAGGAAAAATCCTGCCCACAAAGTTTTTATTTAAGACAGTTATAGTGGCTTTTGGTTTTCAAACTTTTAAAAATAATTGTTCATGAAAGGTATGAAAAACCACAGGCTGCATCAACCCAATACAGCAGAAAAGACCTGGGCACTGCATATTATTTGAGAACACAGAAATCATAATCATCATCATCTTTAATTACTTATTAATCACCCTCCATCCGAGATGCTCCAGGCGATTTACATTGCAGAAATTTTACACATACATACAAATATTAAAATTAACATGGGTCAAATGCTCTAGTAAAAAGCCAGGTCTTAAGTGCTAGAGTAAAATGCCCTAAGTCATGCATGGCTCTCAAATAGGGAGGCAAGGAATTCCATAAGGCAGGGGCAGAAATAGAGAAGGCCCTGCGTCTGGTGCTTTCCAAGTGCACTTCCCTAGGACCCGGCATATAGAGCAAATCGCGTTGGGATGGTCGTGGCAACCTCCGATGATGGTAGGAGAGACGGTCTCTAAGATACAATGGACCCTGGCCATATAAAGTTTTAAAGGTCAGGACCAGCATCTTATACAAACCACGATACTCAATTGGGAGCCAGTGTAGATGCCGCAGCACTGGTGTTATATGGCATTTCATGGGCGTTTTTGTGAGTAACCTGGCTGCAGCATTCTGGACAATACGGAGCTTTCGGGTCGTAGAAATAGGAAGGCCAACATACAAGGCGTTGCAATAGTCCAGCCTAGATGTGACCGTGGCATGGATGACTGTTGCCAGAGCCTCATCCGACAGGTAAGGTGCCAGTTGCCTCGCTTGTCGTAGATGGAAAAAGGCCTGTTTGCTGGCAGCAGCGACCTGAGCCTCCATCGTCAGCTGCGAATCCAAAATGACACCTAGGCTCTTAACGGTAGGCGATGGAGATAGAGCAGCGCCATCAAAGGTAGGTAACGGATGGGTCGGACCTATCGGGCGGCCATGCCACAGGATCTCAGTCTTCACCGGATTCACCTTCAGTCTGCTAGCACATAGCCAGTTCGACAGAGCCTCCAGGCATAAGGTGAAATGCTGGACCACTCTAACAACTACCATGTCCGGCTACACAGAGAAGCCATTGAAATCCACAAGCATGTGGACAATTTCAACATAAAGGAAGAAACTGTGAAAATGAATAAATCTGGCTACCAGTACTAAACAACTCTAAAATTATAACAGTAAGTAAAAAGCAAAACTTAAACGCAGGTTGAAATGAAGAAGGAAAGAATTATGGAAGAATTTAGAGAAATAAAATTGACATAGTTCAATTGTATACAATTAGAACAATGGTTTAAAAATTGGGAGAAATAATAAAAACGGAAGTAAGCTTAACCAATTTGAACAAATAATACAAAGGGTTGTAGAGGAGCATGAACATTTGAAAGGAATAACTAGTAAAATATATAAAATAATAATTGAAATAAAGAAAGGAAAAACAAAAAACATCCTCGAGGTCTAGGAAGAAGATTTAAGGATAAAAATAAATGAAACAGAGTGGCAACAAACATGGAGACAAAGACATCTAAAAAATGTATCAATACAGGTTTAAGAAAATTATTACAAGTTCGGTTCCCTCTAGCTACCGCCCAGTCTCGAACCTTCCGTTTCTGGGCAAGGTGGTTGAGAGGGCAGCAGCGGAACAGTTGCAGCAGTTCCTTAATGACACAGCCGGACTTGATCCCTTCCAGTCCGGCTTCCGTAGGGGGCACGGGACGGAGACTGTGCTAGTTGCCATCACAGATCAGCTTCGCTGCCAGATGGATCAAGGCAGATCAGCGCTGCTTGTGTTATTGGACCTCACAGCAGCATTTGATACGGTCGATCACAATCTATTGACCCACCGCCTAGCCATGACTGGGGTTAGGGGGATACCCCTTAAATGGGTGTCCTCCTTCCTCCAGAATTGGGACAGCTTGTGGTGAGGGGAGGGATGGTTTCCGAGAGATCTCCGCTAACTTACGGTATCCCGCAGGGAGCTATTCTCTCTCCTCTATTATTTAACATCTATATGCGACCGCTTGCCCAACTGGTGCGGAGCTTTGGGCTTGAGTGCCACCAGTACGCTGATGACACTCAGCTCATTCTGAGGATGGAGGGCCAGCCGGACTCTGTACCCGAAAATTTCCATCAGTGCCTTGAGGCTGTTACTGGATGGTTGCGTGCCAGCAGGTTGAAGGTGAACCCAGCGAGATACTTTGGCTGGGCCGTCCGGGTGGGAGGGAGATCCAGCAGCCTACCCTGGATGGTGAGACACTACGTCCGTCACCTTCTGTAAAAAGTCTTGGTGTCTTATTGGACCCTCTGCGCACAATGGAGGCCCAGGTCTCTGCTGTGAGCAGATCTGCGTTTTTCCATCTACGTCAGGCTAGGCGACTGGCTCCCTACCTATCTAGGAACGACCTGGCTACGGTGATCCAGGCGACGGTCATCTCGAGGCTTGACTACTGTAACGCCCTCTACATTGGCCTTCCTTTGTCAGTGATCCAGAAACTGAAGCTAGTGCAAAATACAGCGGCTCGTCTTCTCGCCGGGGTGCCGGCAAGATGTTGTATCACCCCAGTTCTACAACAGCTGCACTGGCTTCCGAATTGAGTACTGGATTACTTTCAAGGTGCTGGTACTAACCTTTAAGGTCTTATATGGTCTGGGGCCGGCGTACCTGAGGGCCCGCTTATCCCCTTACCAACCCCAGAGATTACTTCGGTCCGAAGACCAAAATTTGCTTGAAGTCCCCAACATCCAGACTTATCATCTGTCCTCTACTAGGCAGAGGGCCTTCTCGATTGTAGCCCCTTATTTATTGAATGCCTTGCCAGTTGAAACCCAAACTATCCGAGACCTACTGCTTTTCAGAAAGCCTGTAAAACCTTTCTCTTCCAACAAGCTTTCGATGGGTGAATAACTCGGGACTATGTTGGTTCTTGTTTTATTGTATTTTAACGTTGATTGTATTGTTTTAATCTACTGCTGTAAACTGCTCTGAGCCAAATTGGGAGTAGCGGTATACAAGTCAAATAAATAAAATTAAATTAAAATAAAATAAATATGGAAATGGTATCTAACACCAGTAAGAATAGCAAATATAAATAAAAACCATTCAAAAAATTGCTGGCGAGGGTGGCAAGAATCAGGAACATATATACATATGTGGTGGCAGTGTAAATATGTAAATAATTTTGGGGGGAAAGTATTTGGAGAAATAGAAGATATAATGAATATTAAAATAGAAAGAAGTCCTAGTATAGCTTTATTATCATTATATAATAATAAAATTGAAAAAAGAGGATAAAGAAGTGATAACAAATTTATTAACAATAGCAAGACTGCTTATAGCAAGGAATTGGAAAAAAGAAATAAATATACAAATAGAGGAGTGGTCTTAGGAAGTATGGAAATTGGCAATAAATGATAAGCTGACATGTATATTAAAAGGTAAAAGAGATATATGGAAACAAAGTGATTTTGATGATGCATGGAGAAAATCTATGGAAAAAGGATTTAAAAATGAAGAAAAGTTACCTCCACAAGAAGAATTGAAATTTTGGACAGATGATATGTAAAAGCTGTGGCTTGGGAGGGGGAGGGGAGCACAGCGGTGAGGGATAGATAATATGTATAAGCAGAAAAATAACACTAGATGCCAAAAGTATGGTAGGTTGTATTGAATAATATGTATCTGCTGTAAAACAAATGTATAACAAATGTATTAAACCATGATAAAATAATAAAAATTATTATTATTAAAAAACACGGAAACTCCAACCAGGAAACAATCAGAAACAACTGGTCACCTCTCAACAAGGAAATTTCCCAGGCAAATACAAGCCACACCTAAAACTTGTGAGGCCATCAAATGCTAATCAAGGTGGCCAATTGAAACATTCACAGCTAGCTCCAACAGACAAGAGTTCTTTCTCCCACCCTGGATCTTCCACAGATATATAAACCCAATTTTCCACTTTCCAACAAACCACACAACCTCTGAGGATGCTTACCACAGATGCCAATGGAATTTTGGCCTGCATCAATAGGAGCATAGTGTCTAGATCTAGGGGAGTAATGCTACCCCTCTATTCCACTTTGGTTAGACCTCACCTGGAATATTGTGTCCATTCTGGGCACCACAATTCAAGAGAGATATTGACAAGCTGGAATGTGTCCAGAGGAGGGTGACTAAAATGATCAAGGGTCTGGAGAACAAGCCCTATGAGGAGCGGCTTAAGGAGCTGGGGATGTTTAGCCTGAAGAAGAGAAGGCTGAGAGGAGATATGATAGCCATGTATAAATATGTGAGAGGAAGCCACAGGGAGGAGGGAGCAAGCTTGTTTTCTGCTTCCCTGGAGACTAGGACGCGAAACAATGGCTTCAAACTACAAGAGAGGAGATTCCATCTGAACATGAGGAAGAACTTCTTGACTGTGAGAGCCGTTCAGCAGTGGAACTCTCTGCCCCAGAGTGTGGTGGAGGCTCTTCTTTGGAAGGTTTTAAACAGAGGCTGGATGGCCATCTGTCAGGGGTGATTTGAATGCAATATTCCTGCTTCTTGGCAGGGGGT